AAAAGACCCAAGACTTTATGGACATGTATCAGGAAACAAATGCACATCAAATTATAAATTTTTCTACAAGGTACAGAAACGATCAGAGCTCTTTATTGGATCTATTTCTATGCAACGATCGTAAAAGTATTTTTGACTTAAAGCCAGAGGCGCCAGTTGGACGCAGTGACCACATCATTATCACTGCTAAATATCAACTAAAAATTCCTCCCAAACCAACAAAAACCATACTAAGGAGAAACTTTTACACTCCAAACTATGATCAAATAAACAGTTTTATCACCCAGCAAACTGTATGGGAAGAAGATACCAAGTTTGGAAGTTTCAACAAAAATGTGATGGAGGCTATAGAGCAGTATATACCAGTTAAGTCGGTTAAAATAAATCACCAGAAACCATGGATAAATCAACATTTGTTTGGAGAAATAAATAGAAAACGCAAATTATGGGATAAATACAGAAGTAACAGAACAATTGAAAATTATCAAGTATATACTGCTCAAAATAACAGACTGAAACAAAAGCTTACTCAAGCCAGAACAAAATTTGAACATGGACTGGTTAAAGATAAATCACAAAAGAAGATCTTTAAATACATCAGCAAAAACTTAAATTCAAAAGTGACAACTATATCTCTGAAAGATTTAACTACGCTTGAAGTGCTAGACAACGAAACCACAGCCAAGACCTTTGCAGAACAATTTAACAAAGCCTTTTCACAGGAAACCTTTGCAATGCCACCACTCCCTGTTTGCACTAGAGCCCAAAACTCAATTGATACAATGCACTTTACCGAGGAAAAAGTGAGTGGCGCATTAAAGAGAATGAAAACAGACTCAAGCCCAGGACCAGACAACATACCAACGATCTTCCTAAAAAATTGCAGCAATTCATTAAGCTCACATCTGGCAGAAGTGATGAATGAATGTATGGAAACCGGTGCTATCCCTAAGGAGTGGAAACAATCAATAGTAACACCAATTTTTAAAAAAGGAGATAGGCACAAACCAGAAAATTATCGTCCAGTCAGCTTAACATGTAACCCACTGAAGTGCATGGAAAAAATCATTGTTGAGGAACTAACAGCCTTTTTCCAAACTAATGATCTTATTCCCACATCCCAACATGGTTTTCTTCCAAGGCGCTCCACAACCACAAATTTGCTAGAATGCCTAGACGATTGGACAGCAAACCACGATAAATCGCAGCCTACTGATGTGGTGTATCTTGACTATGAAAAGGCGTTTGACAAAGTCCCACATAACTTACTTATTGGCAAATTAGAGCACTTTGGAGTACGAGGACAGCTGCTAACGTTAATAACAGATTCACTTAATGAAAGACACTACAAAGTCAGAGCTAATGGAGTATTGTCCAACCGGCATCCAGTGAGCAGCGGAGTTGTCCAGGGCTCGGTCCTGGGACCTTTACTCTTTACTGTTTACCTCTTCGATTTGGTTGACATCATACAGTGTCCAATGAAAAACTTTGCAGACGATGGAAAACTGTACATTAATCCACTTATTGGTGCCCATTTACTTAAAACAGACCTAGAAAATATTGAAAGCTGGTCCAGAACATGGGGGATGAAGCTAAACGCATCAAAATGTACAGTGCTTCGAATTGGGCCAAACAATCCAAACACACAGTATACTCTTAATAACACGACCCTCACATCAGTGAAAGAACAGAATGATCTAGGAGTCATTATAACATCTGATCTGAAATGGGAGACACATATAAAGAAAATAACGAAAAAAGCAAACTCTTTTGTATATCTCATAAAGCAAGCTTTTAGGGACCATTCAGTGGAAATGATAACGAAGCTGTACAAAAGTTACATAAGGCCAAAAGTTGAATATGCATTTACTGTGTGGAATCCCTATTATATAAAGGACATTGAACTCCTAGAAAGGGTTCAGAGAAGAGTTACAAAAATGCCTCTAGAACTTAGGTCCTTACCATATACAGAAAGGTTAGAAAGGCTCAATCTTACAACCCTTAGAGAGAGGAGACACAGGGGAGATCTAATAGAGACGTTTAAAATAACTAACGGCCACTATCAGTGCAATATTAAAAACCTTTTTCATCCAAGTCAAAATAACCAGCTTAGAGGCCATTCTAAAAAACTAGAGAAAGAAAAGACATCGAAAATGGTAAGAAGAAACTTCTTAGTGAATCGTGTTGTGTACTCCTGGAACGCTCTACAGGAAGAAACAATTTCCGTCGTTTCTATTAATGCATTTAAGAACAAAGTGGACTCTGAATTGAAACAGGACTTTAATAGGATGGTTCATTATGGTGTATAAAAAGAAACAAACTCTCATATCAAAAGACACAATAGCTTCATCGGTTTCACCGCCTGCTATTGGTTAATTATAGAATTAAAAAAATAGAATTATAGAATTACCTTCAAAGTACAAATTCACTCACAGAATTAAGTACTGAATGCAAATTTAAGCGAAATATTTCACAATCCTCACTTGACAGTTAACATGCCGCTACCTGCGTTCCCGTTCAATCTTTGTTTACGATTACGACTCATCCCGTCCGGCGTCCACGCTGCCCTGCATCATAGAAACAACGGATCCGCGCTGTTGTCAGCTTGGCATTTTTTACCGAAATTACCGGTAAAAGATGTCGATTTCTTCGTCGGTAATTTAAAGAACTTTTAAGGCGGTAAATCGGTAAACCGGTAGTGCAATCCCTAGTCGTGTCGTAGATTAATTCATACTCACACATTCAATTTTTTTTACAAATTAAAATGAATTTCTTCTGGTTTAAGAACCGACGAACATTTTTGACCTCATTGATTTGTTTCAGTCAATTTATATTTGTTAAAAAAGGAAGGCAAATTATGTCTACATGACACGTCAAGTCACAGAATAAGAAAGTGCGTGTGCGTTCGAAACCATATTCGAAACGCCAATTTCTTGTTTGGCTTTAGCCGCACTGAAGTATGGGACCTGGAACGTGGAACTCAACCCACAAGCAGAGAGAAGAGCTCAGAACTTGAATACGGTACAGAGCGAAGAGCGACACTCGACTCGTAATCCAAATTGTACTAGATTAATGAGAGAGGTACTAGCGTACTAGGTGAAACTTCATTGTGCTAGATCTAGTACGATTATACTAGAAATAGCATCCCTGCCTTTATGCCTGGTTTATACTTCTGAATTAAGAATTAAACTAAATTAAGAATTAAACTAAACTAAAAATTTAAATGTGAAATCTCCATAATTTGATGCTGTCGTTTATACCGCAAATTGAAAAATTAAATTAAATTGAATATGTCAAATGTCAATATGTGTTTTGTCACTCTAGCGGGTTTTTGTTTATTCCCATGTTCCTTTCTGTCATTTGTGATTACGTGAAGAGCTCGCTAATTTCAGAAAATCTTTAATTCTTAATTTTAGGTATAAACTGCATTTCTAAAGTTTAGTTTAATTAAATTTTCAATTTATTTTTTAGTTTAGTTTAATTCTTAATTTTGGAAGTATAAACCAGTCATTATAAGATGTTGCTACCAAATTTCAGATTTGACGTTTTTTCTTTGGGCGGCCATCATCAAGTTTATTTTTTTAAATACGGACCCTTATTGCATTTACTCGAGAACATTTTTTTTTTTTAATTTTCATGGCTATTTGCACAGCTATCACTTAAGGGATATTTAATCTAAGTGAAGCTTTGAATGTGACTTTTATTTCTACATGAGTTACAATCAAAGCTCCACTGGAATAAAATATCCCTTAAGTTGTAGCGGTGCAAATAGCTGTCAGTAATTTCCTACCAAAATTCTCTTCTCTGTCTCTCTCTAACACATTAAGGTCTTATGGAAAGTGCCAATAATATAAATTTTTCGAATGAGTCCGATACGTCATAGGTTTTGGGACATCAGAAGCTCATAAAATCTAAAATAAAAAAAAAGGATCCGTATTTAAAAAAATAAAGTTGATGATGGCCGCCCAAAAACGAAACGTCGATTTTGAAATTGCATCATCTTGTAAAGAAGAAAAAGTGACATTTATTTCAAAATTGCTCTTCAAATAAATAGACTCAGGAAAAAATTAAAATGTTGCAAAATTATTTTTATTTTTTCAGACTATCTTCAGAAGTATTCGGAATTTTTGAAATTTCAAAATGGCATTTTATTGGTCATAAAATTGTGCAACTTTGCCATAATTTAACCGACCTCGTATCTCTTAAAGTTTCTGCTATCTGAATGATCACCTTCGAATTTGGGACACCCTGTATTGACACCCCCACCTACAGCCTTTACCTTTACAGAGAAGGAAGGTGTAAATGCAAAAGTTGTACAGTATTGGCTAAATTTTTAGAATCCATGGTCAGAAACAAAAATTGAATGACAGAAATGTAAGATGTTGCATGCTTTCAGCTTTTTTTGAATGTGATGCCCTATATTTAATTCTATATTCTTGAAGAGTACAATTTCTCGATTCCAAAAATATATAGTTTGTCTATATTTGGTTGAGCCATATCCAACATATTTGGTCAAGTATTTGGTTTAAAAAATTTCAAAAATACCATCAGAGAAACCAAGTACCTTAAATTTTACCTGCAGCTTTCACCTGTACAGGTAGAATGGTTCACAAAATCAGTAGGATATTTTTACAATTTTTGGAGCTGAATATATAAGAGACTGCTCAACCGAATAAAGGCGAACTATATATTTTTGAAATTGGGGCATTGTACTTTTCAAGAATATAAAACCAAATACAGGGCATCCCATTTGAAAAACGCTGAAATTATGCAAAATTTCAAATTCCTGACATTTAATTTTTGTTTCTGATCATGGATTCTAAAAATTTAGCCAAAACTGTACAGTTTTTGTATTTACACTTTTCTTATACCTGTAAAGATAAAGATTGTAGGTGGGGTGTCAATATGTAAAAAACACTTTTAAAAGAAAATATTTGATCAGACTAAACCACTATCAAATTCACTTGAAACAAAAAAATTTATTAATCGTTTTATTACAGGGTGAAAAAATCCAAACCATTCTCAAAGCAGCCAACGTCGACGTAGAACCCTACTGGCCAGGACTTTTCGCTAAAGCCCTGGAAGGTGTCAACATCCGTGACTTGATCACCACCATCGGGTCCGGCGCTGGTGCCGCTCCTTCTGCTGCTCCGGCTGCAGGTGCCGCCCCAGCCGCGGCTGCCGCAGTGGAAGAAAAGAAGAAGGAAGAGTCCGAAGAAGAATCAGACGATGATATGGGTCTTAGTTTCTTCGACTAAGAAGTTTTATGAGTTGTATTTTTATAGAAATAAAAATGTGACTTTTTTTTTGTAATTGAACATCATTTGTTTTATTCTTGTTTTCGATTGTGTATTTTAAAAATATTTGGAGACGAATTTGAATTAGATGAAATCCTAAAACCGCGTAGAGACCACTGATCTCAATAATAAATGGATCAACAATTGTACGGCTTGACTGGCTAAACTTGTGCGAAAATTTGGGGTCAATATTCTACAAACAGTTGTGCAACAGAACAGCCTAACGCCTGCGCAGTGTCTCATCTTTCGAACAATTGTTCTAATTTTGAAATATCCTTCATTTTCATTGGCTATATTTTGCGCACACACAGTACATGTGTCTACAACGCACGCTTACAGCTGTTTACATTATGACCTCTTAAATTAGCAGCATTAGAAGCGTTCTTTGTTTATCCATTTATTTTTGAGATCAGTGGTAGAGACCCAATTTCCAACAGAAACCAACGGCACATGTGCTATAGTTGGTGTTGGAATTGAAAAAGATTTGAGAATATAGTTCACACTGCCATATACACCAAAGCCAACATGTTCCAGCATAGTTCACATGTGCCCTTGGCTAGCGTTGGAAATTTGGTCTGTATGCATATTAAAGTTCTTTGTAAGTTTATGACAGAATTTCACAAATGTCAGGTTTACCACAAAGTTGGATAGAGAACCCATAGAGAATTCATTTAATACCTAAAAACCTATGGTATTGCACTGAAAAAAAAATAAAATAAATATACATATATAGTTTTTGGTATTACACTTTTCTGGGACACCCTGTATACTTCAAAATATCTTTCGGTTATATCAGAGACGAAATGTTAAAACTTTTATACAGAACATTTTTCCACAAGTTCAACAGTTTGGCTAGTATTTGTCCAAGGCGCCCTTGTTGGATCACCCTGTATATCAGGGTCGCCATGATTTTCCCAGATTTTCATAGCCATCCTTTCTAGAAAAAGAAAGTAAATGGATATTACCGTAACCACCTGTAATGTAAAAAATGTCATCTACAACTAAAATGCAAATGCTAGGACACAGTTATGGGTGCACAAAACAAAAGTCTTCAAAATTTAAAAGTGTATTTTAATTTTTAATAAATTATAATACAAACAAATATACTTAGTAAATATCATAAGCTTATATTTTAAAGCGATAATTGGTTTGAGACAATATTAAAAGAAAAACAATAAACAAGTTGTATAATGACATTATTTTTAAAAAAAAATATCCAAGAGTTAATTTAACGTAAAAAAGGGAACCATGGTGAACATTCAATTAATACCTATACAAGTCAACCATATACGGATAAAAAATAATAAATTACTGTGCATTTAACAAAAAAAGAAAAACAATTTGAACCTCCAGTGGGTGTATATTTATTTGGTTCAAGAATGATAGAAGTGTGCTCCAAAATTCAATTGGAACAAACTTAAAAGCCATAACAAAATTCAACTGAAATTTGTATACCCGAAAAGCATTTACAGCGACAACAATAATAAATCAACAAGGAAAATAAATGGCAATCAACAATATAAATTATTGAAAATTGATTTAATTCATATTCCATTTGGTGGATTATGTACATCAGAATTATTAATAAAATTGTTAAATTTTATTATGGTCAGGTTCAAGGTTCCGAAAGTTAATAGGTTGTCTGGTAACTTGCATTATGATGAGGCACCACAGATGATGACGTCATACAGTTATCAGGCAACCAACCTTGGGTCACTTTGAAAAAAAACAATGTCTCTTAGCTTTAATAATAATTACAAAAGAAATATCACAAAAATAAACAAAAAAAAAGCAATTTTTTTTTTTTCAATTTTTTGCTAATTATTTACAAGACACGATAAGGCCTGTTCCAAGAAGAATTTCAATTGGAGCTTCTTGTCGGAACAAACCCTAATAATGGTTAATTACTGTGAGAAAAACATCATTTTTTTTTTGCTTGTTAAAAATGGATTTTACACATTTGCAAGTGCATGTTTAGTTTTAGCTCTGAACAACAACAGCTGATTGAAAAGTTTTTGAAATAATTGTCTTTGAAGCTTAGCCTCTGGTAAACCAAAAATCAAAAAATCTTTGAATAATTCCAAACCAAAGACAAAACCTGTGTATAATTTAATGTAGGTACTTGTCAAAAACTTATTTACATTTTCAACAAATAAAAAAAGCAGCAGTATTCTTTCCAATCCTAAATTTTTCTGTTGAGGGGGGAAAACAAAGGAACACTGGCGAAAAATGCATCCCTGTCAAAATAATGTCCCGTCAAGAGTCTCTTGTAGGAACCGACACATCAAAAAAAAATAAGTTGAGAAAATGCGTCAAAGTATATTTTTGTTTTTTTATACATACATATCACATATTCCTATATTTCAGAGATTAACACATTATTTTAATTTTTTTTTTTTAATTATAAGCGAAGTGCATAAATCACAGTTCTAGGTATATAAAGAGAAACAAGGCAACTACTAAATTGCATTGAATTAATTTTTTTTTTTTAAGTAGATTATTTAAGTGTCTAAATTTATATGAGAATGCGAGATGCTGTGAATTTGATGATGAAATTTTTCAATAATAATAAGTATGTCTGCACCTCGCATTATAATTATAATTGGGGAAAAAAAAACATAAAAGGTACAATTACAGCGAAAAGTAAAAAGTTCTCATTAAAAAAAAGTTTTCACTTATAGATGAATAAGTATTGTTTTACATTTTTTTTTTTTAGATAATACGGTATTTTACTCACATATTCCATAATAGACAATAATTGGTCTATTACTTTTCAATACACTAGAGTGGTAAACATCACCTTTACATCACTGACAATTTATAACTAGTAAAATATCATATTACTTTTTTGCTTCTTTATTGGTTCGGAATCTTGGAAGGTGAAGAGGATTCATGTTTTTCGTGTCACATCATAGGTTAGCTGAACACCTGCCCAGATCTGGAAGTAATAAATTTTGTTAGAGCAATATTACCAGTGATTTTTTTGGTGTACATTTTCCTAAACATTTTCTGACCTCAAAGACATAATTTATTTCTGATACAAATTGCAATTCATTTTATCAAATGCTAAATCGACTAGATCTGGATACTTTGTATGGCAAAAAAAAGAGGATCGCAACTCATAATGAGATGTGATACGAATGCGTATCATACTATATGGGGCATGCGCATCATACTATATGGGGCATGCGCACCATACTATATGGGGCAGCACAAATACCAACAATAGAGATGAGAAAGTATGCCGCCCTAAGAACCCCCTGGAGAAGACACTGTGAGGAGGTCGAACAGACTCCTCAATGTGCCAGGCTTTATAAAATCCTTTCCAAAGACACTCTAGGAACGATTGGCTCTCTAAGAACATAAAAGGGAAACTTCACTCAGACTGAACAAGAAACTCTGGAAAAGCTTTACAGAGTAAACTTCCCGGGCAGTGTGATCCTTGAAGAAAACCCCGAATACCGTCATTATGTCACAGATCACCTAAATACAGATGCGTAAGTAAGTATCCTTGCCGTCGACGATTCAAAGCTACGAAACCAGGGGAGCCGGCTTCCTTGCCGCTAACGCGGTCGATCATTTATAGTGCGTGAGCGTATTCCAACCTGTTGTGTTTACATATAACCTTGAACCACGAATCCACCGCTCTTTCGCATCTGTATGTAGGTGAAGGGAAGACTGGCAAATTGGATTGATTTGTCCAATATTATTACAAAAAGGCTAATAGCACGCTATACTCCAGGCTCCTGATTATATTTAGAGCAAGCTTGGGACTAAATCATATCCCCCAAAGCCTGAAAAAAAATCAGAGTTGTTTTCATCCTCAAACCTGGTGAAATAGGTCTGGACAATGCAAAAGCTCTGAGACACATAAAGCGTCATGTCATTTTTGTTGAAGGCTCTAGAAAAACTGTTGAGTTACACATTCGGGGTGGTGCATTGGCTACCAGTCTGGTAGTACCAGATCAATATGCTTACAAAACAGGAATTTTTCCAAAGATATCATTCTTTTCTCAGTAAAGGACCAGTCAGTATTTTCCAACAGATTCTGCAATTTGTTTATGTTTTTACTCTATTTTAAATTTTGTTTCCTAACAATAATAATAATAATAATAATAATAAAGGTCTTTATTAAGAGAATCTTAAAAGGCGAAGTCTAGCTGAACATACTCAGCTATTCAAACTTAACCCTAATTTTATACAATATTTTCAATAAATATCTTAATAACATCACAAGCATAGGTATATTGTCCTTTATAAAAATATAAATTACAATAATAATAAAAGTTAATGTAAATTCACAAATATTCCCAGAACTGCCTATAGCTATAGCCATATATAAGGAGAGAAAAAAATATTAAATAAAATATATGATAAACAATTTACTGGTTTTCAGCTTCCTGTTCAATTAGTAAAGCATTATTTATTATTTTACGAAAGACTGCGATTGAAGCACCTACAAAATAGCTAGAGTATCTGTTATAATTTATGACTGAAATGCTAGTAAAATAACGCTGGTATATAGATGAACTGTGCTGAGGCATTGTAAGTGTATTTGATCGAACAGGGATATTGTGGATTTCATTCCTAAAAATCAATTTTGATCTTAAATATGCAGGAGCAGAAGTTTTCAACAATTTGAAAATCAGTACTAGCAGCAAGTATTGATAAAGATAACATACTTTCAACCATTTAAGTTCTTTAAGTTTGTCTGATATGTGATCATATTTCCTCAAGCCGAAAACAAAGCGACAACAATTATTCTGTATTTTTTGTAGACGCTGTTTTTCAATTTGTCTCAAACATGGATAATACAAGGTAATACCATAAGAAACTGTTGACATAATGTATGCTTCACATAATTTTTTACGAACCTTAAAATTAAGCAAATGTTTGTTTGCATACAAAACTTTCAAAGCCATGTAGGATTTTTTACTTAAATTAGTAATATATTCATTGAATCTAATGGCGTTTCCAATTGGTAGATTTAGTGCGGAACTAGTGCAATTTTTTCTATTTCTCTCTTTTTCTTCTACAGATCGATTAAAAGGATGCAAATACACTCAGTGCGCACTGAATCTACCAATCGGAAACGCCATAAGTTTGCTATCTAATACTACTCCTAAGCTCCTAGCACTATTTACAAAGTCCAAGCCTTCATCATTAAGCTTAAAATGCAGATACTCACGGAAAAATTCCTGACATGACAACAATAATTCTTCCCTCATGATTACTTTAATCTATATGTTTTGTCTCAATCACAATTGTATATTAAGTCTTAAAGGGGGCGTGACGTTAAAAAACGACTTAAGCTACTTAAATCAAGAAAAAAATTCTAAGATCTCTCGTGAAAACCGCAGTCCTATATTCAAAATAGTCTCAGAGAAAATTCCTTGTGAAGATAAATTATGCAGGAGCTTGTGATCTTAAACCGCCAAAATCGCAGTCTTCTCTTCGTTCAGTTGTCAGTGAACCGTACCCTATACGTTTAGTGGTTGCAATTCGCTCTAGGAGATAATTGTCTTTTGTTTTGGAAAATTCTCACACGTGTTAATACTGTCCCTGATAATCCAGTATGACGTCACAACGCCTAGTTGTAACTTTAAACTGCCCTAACTCGAAAACGGACCATCATAGCAAGATGCGGTTTACATAATTATTCTTAGATTTTTGATTTTTTTGCACTAAAACTTTCATTTTTGGGTCACACCTCCTTCAAATTCGTGCAAAAATAATCTATTTGAGGCACTAGTCTGATCCTAGTAAATGTATCCACGTGCATCTTGAAGTCGAAAGACATCAATAAACACTTTAAGTTCATTGATTCTTGGGAATTTTGACTACAGTCAATATTAAAATCGCCTACCAACACAGTTCGAACTCTTTGTAAAAGACCTTAAAACATCAAATAAACTTTCGTAAAAAACATTCAGATTACCAGACGGAAACCTATAAATATTTATGATATAAAAATTAAGGAAATGTACAGTTGCGATAAAAAAAAAGTAGTACAAAAATTATTCACCCCAATTTGAGCTCCTGGTGTAACATACAAAATTCTGACAGGCATATGACATTTTCTAGGTTAAAAACGGGTGGAAAAATGCCAAAGTAATGTCATTTGAAGCTTTCTAGGTTAAAAAGTTGTCGAAAAATGCCAAAAATATGTCATTTTTGGTTATGAATTAAATTAACGTATAATAGACCAGGAGACTTTGGAGATTCTTCTTGTACTATTTTTTTTTTGATAGCAACTGTACAGTGGAAATCATTGCAATTGGCACACACTATGTAAATATCCCTCGTAATGTGTCAAATCTGACACACAGTAATAGCAAAATGCTGCACTAAATAAATTTATTGGTTAGAATTTTGACTTAATACGAGGGATTTTAAAGAGTGTGTGCGAATTGCAATGATTCCGACTGTACCATAGACATGTACATAGGCACAGGCACAGGCAAGTTCAAAATGTTTTTCATTATTAAGATAGTCATATTATATTTATCAATAGTCTTACATTCGATGCTATCTTTTACAAGCATTATGGAACCTCCAACCTTAAAAATATTTCTTGTGTAACAAGAAACGACATAATAATCTTGTAAAACTATGGGCTCGTGTTCTTTTAAATGGTGTTCTGTTAAACATACTAAATCAGGATTTTTATGGTCTTCTAATCCAAGAAAATAGATAGTTCAGAAGTTTTGTTTCTTACGCTACAAATATTTAAAGATAAAATAATGAAAATATCATCACCTAACTCTAAACTATTAAGCTCGACATTAGGATCACTGGAAGACACAGATTTGTCATCAATCAAATTACAGTAATCTTGTTCGGGCTCGTATCTAAAAAATTTTGTGTTTCCATGATATCGTCACTATCTAAAACTTCTTTTGTAAAATTTGTAGTCATCTGACTATGCACTTTCTAAATACTCACCTGACATATCCTTTCAAGTCCTAATTAGTGAAAGGGAAAAATGGAAAAACCAACATGCACTCTACAATCTTAAAGACCAGACGTAGTACTTGGACGGGTCAAAGACTGAGAATGGCACAGGCGCAGCAATCCACAGTCATATCCACATACATCTATTTTCCAGGCAGAAGTATATACAATACTACAATTCGCAAAATTCAATAATATGAGGGCCTGCAAAGTAAGTAAGGCAGCACTGGGGGTATCGAGGAACCCTAAGGCAAACTTTGCACTGGTAATAGAATGCCGAGAAGAACTCAACAACTTGGCGGACCAAAATAAAGTCACATTGATGTGGGGGGCCAGGACATAGAAGTATCCCGGACAACGAAAAGGCTGAGGAACTGGCTCGCAGGAGTTTATCCACAGAATACCTTGGTCCCGAACTAGCTCTCGGAGTGCCCAGAAGCACAGTAAAAAAGGAGCTGAACAAATGGATCAAAGCAAAACATAAAACATGCTCAATACTGGAACCAAATACCCAAGCAGTCATATGGGAAAATCTTCATATGTGAGACTTTTCATAAAGGGCACAACTGTGAAACTGTTGTGTGTTGGATGAGTGGATTAGAGATATTGATAGTGGTTATGGTGTAGTTTCAGTTTTTCTTGACCTGCAAAGACCGTTTGAAACAGTTGATAGGGACACTCTTATGTTTAAGCTCAGGAGTATAGGATTGCAGGGTATGACATTGAAATGGTTTGGCAGCTATCTTGATAATCGAAAACAGAAAGTTAGCATGAATGGATACGTTTCTGATGAAATAGTTAATGATTATGGAGTACCCCAGGGGAGTATACTGGGCCCTTTGCTGTTTATAATTTATATTAATGACATGGCACAGCTTAATGGTACCATAAAAATGCATTTGTTTGCGGATGACACCCTGATTTATTTGGCATCAAAGGACCTAAAAGACTTGATTACTAATATAGGTAGGGCTCTTGATAGTGTGTATGGGTATTATTGTAAACATTTATTAAAGATTAATGTAAATAAAACTAAGTTTATGTTATTTGGACCATAGAAAATAAAGAATGCATTTGCATTGAATAAATTCAGGATAACAGTGGGGGGCTTAGTTATTAAGCAAGTTAAAAAAAAAAAAATATTTGGGGGTTATTATAGATGAGAAGCTGACATTTAAGGAACACGCTAATTATGGTTATTTCAAAAATAAGTTTTAAAGTGAATCATTTGTCGAGATGCTCTGGATATTGTCGCAACTGCTTGCTTTACGGGGGTGACATGGGGGGGTTTGTAGCTTTGGGGGTGATGGAGAGAAACTCGCTCAAGTTATATAAAAGTGTAGATATACATTTTCCAAATATGTCCTTACATATACGCTAGTCCTATAAGATGCATGACCCTTCGAGCACTGGGGTCCTTATAGGGATCCACACGTCAACGCTGCTTGGGGGACTGTCGATTAGTTATCGTCACCCTTATGCCTTGTCCAGAGGGGCTTTCCCAACGAAAGGTAATTGCACTGGACAACGATAAGGCTGAAGATACCCAGAGGGGCCTTCCCAACGAGAGGTAGTTGTACTGGTTTAAGTTTGCCTGTTGCTTGGCTTGGCCAACTATTTATATCAATTTATTGCTGAATTAAAATAAACATCCGATCGAATCGGCAATTAAATTAATGAAGTTGAATACCGGATTCTCCTTTCTTAAGCAGCTAGTTGAAAATATCTGTCAATGTGAGCTAAATTGGTAATGTATAACACTCTAATACTGCCTCATTTTAATTACTGTTCTACAATCCTATATTTTTTAAAGTAAAATGAAGTAGCTAGGTTGCAGAGGCTGCAGAATAGAGCAATGACACTTATTATTTCTCGCAGTAAACACACTGAGATAAAGGCCATGTTGGAGTGCCTGCAGTGGCTCTCTGTAAAAGACTTGTTAAAATTTAATATGTTAGTTATTATTTTTAAAAACAGGAAGGGTCAAACACCGCCCTACCTTGCCAGTAAGATAGTTTACAATCATGAGATATAGTCGTAATCACGATAGAGTTTGAATTTTGACCGTTATTTTCACCAGTTGAAAATAAATAAAATCCCCAGATCTGTCCCTTTTTCTGACAACTATCAAATAATGATACATGACATTTTAATTTGACATATAAAAATATCAGATTCGGGTCTTCGAATTTTATATTTCGAATTTTTGTGTAAAATCGTTCAGTTCTTTGCCGTTTTCTGCATTATTTTTTTATTTGTTATTATCGCAATCGGTTTTTTGGTTTTTTATGTAGTGTTCTGTGCCTTTGTGTTTCGGTGTTGCATTTCAAACCTGGTTTTAGTTTGGATGTAAGTGTTTACTCTTTTTATAAGTGTTTACTTTGGACTCTAATTTTAGGATTTTTGGATTTTAATAACCTAACTTCCTTTAAAGAAATTGAAAATAAATTTTTATTCTGAAATGTATATCACTTTTCTAAATACGACCCTGTCGTTTATCCCAGCTGACGGAATCGAAGCACTAACGCATGCTGGCAACCTAAAGAAAAAGTTTACTAGGAATGTCAACGCGAACTTCACTTTCTATCGTGATTACGACTATACATGCATACAATACTAGGCAAAGGAATGATTTTTTCGTGACCGCAAGGAATAAATCGTTTGGACAGAACAGCATTTTTCACAATGGTTTAGACTATTTTAATGGGTTGCCTCAGGAGGTTAAGGAGTCAGCGACTTTACCAATATTTAAAAGACGGTTTAGGGGTTATTTGCTGAGAACGTGAGGTCATTGGTGTCGCACGATGTGTTTAATTGTATTTTAAATGTATTTTAATTTTGTTTTTGCTGTATTTTATAACTGTTGTATTTTATTCTTGCTGTATTTTATTTTGAATTAATTATTAATTTAATTGACGTGTCTCGCAGAAATAGAAAAAGAGAGCTTAATTGTAATAAATACAAGTTAGAAAGTAATAAAAAATGACATGCGCGCGCAACTCGTGGCTGCAGTGTAGCCAGATTGTATTGTCGCAGAACAAATGTAGACAATACAAATCGAACATTATAACATTAAAGAAGTGATATATTGTCAAGTGTTTCACAACACCTTAAATCAGACAAAAGAAGAGCTTTAAAGTGTATGTTAACATCGATGGCACTTTTATTTTGATAAATATTTCATCCGGCAACATCGCACAATGAAATTGGCAAAGAAATATGTCAAGTATAATCTAACATAACCTTAAACAACACTGCGATAAGTTCAAGTAATACGTAAAGTATTAGTTTGCTCTTTGTCGAATTACACGTTACAAAGAAAGAAGGAAAGATTAATTCTGAACTCGTCCCTGAATACGAATATGACGCAAGCCCGTAACAAACTCGATTTTCATTGGACGCTCACCTGCAACCCACGAGTTGCGCGCGCACACCAGGTATTACGAGACACGTCAATTGTAAATAAACTCATCCACATTACATAACAACATAACCCAACTTTTTTTTGACAGCATGAAACAACGTTGCCATATTTCATTTATTTAGGCTTGCCATTCAACCAACGTAACTTTTTTTTTTCGAATTCGAGAACGGCTGGACCGATCTTAAATTTAATACCACGTATCTCTATATAAGCTGAATTCGATTGACCCAGATTAGATCGATTTGGGTTCAAAAAAATTAATATTTTTTCTACTTTTTAGTAATTTCCTACCAAAATTCTCTTTTCTGTCTCTCTCTAACACATTAAGTTCTTATGGAAAGTGCCAATGATATAAATTTTTCGAATAAGTGCAATACGTCATTGGTTTTGGGACATCAGAAGCTTATAAAGTCTGCAATAGAAAATAAAGTCTGTTGTATTAAAAAAAAATGGAATTGATGATGGTGGTCCAAAAACGAAACGTCAAATTTTAAAATTGATAATGTCATCTTGTAGAGTAGGAAAAGTGGTGACGATGAAGTGGCATTTATTTTGAAATATGTATCTCCTCAAATAAGCTCAGAAAAAAATAAAATCGATTTTGCAAAATTTCGGGTTTTTTCAGGATATCTCGAAAAATGTTTGGAATTTTTCAACTGTCAAAGTAGCATTTCATTGAGCGTTAAATTGCGCAACTTTTTCGTAATCTAACCAGCATTGTAACTTCAACCGTTTCCCAGATCCTAATGGTATCACATCCTTATCTTGGACACCCTGTATAAGAAAATGACATTTGGATAAATGAACTGAAAGTATTAGAGCAAATAAAACTAATACATGATATCCAAAGCAATAATCTTAAAGTTAATGTAAAACTGCAGGATAACAGACAATTTTGCTCATACAACACCAGAAACAACCATGAATTGAGAACCACATAGAGTAGAAAATAGTAGAAATCAAACGAGAAGAAGCCACACGCGTTATCGTTTGTCTCACTTTAAATGGGAGGGACCCAGAGAAAAGGAAATCTGCTTTCTTTGTCAGCGCTAACGACAGTGGCTTCTTCTCGTTTGATTTTTACTCTACGTTAGAACTAAAAAGGGACAAGACATCAATATTTCAAAGAAGTGGGGGGAGACTGTCTCATAACCTTAAAATTTATATAGGGGAAAATAGAAAATAGACAATAAAGTATCAGGATTAATAAATTTTAAAACAAGTTTGTTTGCTTTTGAGAATTACTTAATTTGTATGTTAATATCTGTAGGCGTTCCTGTCAGTTTTATTATAGACTGTTTTGAGGTCATTAATACAGTAATAAATTATTATTTAAATAAATAACTAAATGAATAAATAAAAAATAGATCACTTTACTGATGCAAAAGTTATTTCATAGAGGAGTTGTTCAAGAGTCAGCCTTTGGCCCAATTCTGTTTCTATGCTCCATTGCAGATTTTAGCAAGGAATTGCAAACTTAAAATCAGTCCTTTCTGACGACCAGAAGATGTATTGCAATCCATGAACGGATCTGCGCAAATTCATGTCAGATATAAGAACTTTAGAAACCTTGCCACACTGCTGGCTTATGAAACTAAACACGGAGAAGTGTACGAGTCTTCATATTGGAAGAAATAACCCACATAATACAGAATTAACAATACTGAGATCTCACAAGTCACGTAATAAAGGGACTTACGTGATAATAACGGACAACCTGGAATGGGAAACCCATAAAACTCAAATGGTGAAAAAAACAAAGACTCTGGTATACCTAGCTAGGGAGAGCTTTCAGCAACAAATTTGTAGAGTTCATAAGAAAAATCTATGTGTCCTTCATTTGCCCAAAGCCGCAGTACTATTACACAATCTGGAACCCATACTACATCAAAGATATAGAGCTACTAGAAAGAACTCAAAGAAGAGGCACAAAAATTCCTAATGAATTCAAAGACACTGTATGTACTGTCACTGAGCCTATTCGGGTTTGAAAAAGGACGGTTCTATATAGAACGGTTCAAAGCAATTGCACAGTTTATTATTGAAATTTGTGATAGCCGAGCCGTTCTCATTTTGATGATTGATAAACTATGCGATTGTTTTGAACCGTTCTAGAACCGTCATTTTTTCAAACACGAATAGGCCCTATGAAGACAGATTCAGGATGTTCAAAGAGAGAGGAGGCTTCATTGAAACCTTCTAAATCATCCATTGCAACTATGATGACAGCCTAAAAGTTAGCTTTGCTATACTAAATACAAACATAACAAGGGACACTCTAAAAAGATATAAACAGAAAAAATCAATGACGACACTTTCTCACAAACTGAGTTGTTAACAAGTGGAACAGTCTCCCAGAAACTCTAGTGAGTGCAGACAACGGAAACATATTTAAAACAAAAAATCAGGTTGATGATGGCATTGGAAAACCGAAACGTCGAATTTTTAAAATAATATCACTTCATGAATTAAATTAAAAAAAAAACGACTTTACCTTAAACTGGCTTGTTTTTCACTTATTCATAACAAAGTCTGTTCGTCGCTAACATGACCTCCAGTTTCCTCTTGCGATTCTGGATCCTCAACGCCTTCATCTTCAACCGGTTCCGCTTCCGGCATCAATTCCAGAGCCCGTTCCAACGTTTTCTTCGCACTATTCGACCGTTCTAGGAAATAACCATTGGAAGTTTCGTTACTCTGTGCCGGAGGCGACCACTGATTGTAGGGGTATTGAGAATTGGGCGGGTATTTACGTTCCAGTTCGTCTTGGAGCCAAGCCACTGCCGAAGCCCATGGCCTAAAAGTATCACAAAACTCAATACAAAATATTATGAGAACCTAAAATACATACAGTCTCAAATCCGTTTGGCACATAAGCATATCCTGTGCAACGCGACATTTCGAAAACAGCGCCACCAAACATTTTATACACTGATACGCCCTCTTTTGGTAATGGTTCTTAGCACGGGTTATCGTTTCGAAAAGTCCTTCTCTTTCGTCACGTAAACCTTTGATGGCGTTTTGTATCCTGTGAGATTGCCACGAGTCCTCAATTTGCAACACCGCGAGCAATATTTCAATGTGATGACGTAGTTCTTGACAGTAAGCAAAAGCTATTTGCCACAAGAGTTCGGACAAGACGTTTTTCGAAAATTGAGGATTTTCCCACGAACAGAATTGGATAAGTTTGATGGCTTCTTCCGTTAAATTGGTATCTTCTATCACTTTTTTCACATAACTAAAATTGGATATCAAAATTAATTATAAACATAACAATAAAAACTCAAAATTCTTACTTGGTGCGATTAAAAAGTAATTCCGACGCCTGCGGTGGAAGCGTCATAATATATTCTTGTATCGCTAATTCTCTGTAAGGATTCGGCATGATAGGTTCCCCGTTGCTCGACTGGCATTTCGAACTGACATCACAACATCTCACCAGACAAGACACGAGCTGATTGAGTTTTCCCAGCTCGGTGTATTGGTACTTGATGGCAGGTCCCGGTCCTTCGTCTAAGGCCACTAGCATAAAAGTTGCAGGCACGTTTAATCTTAGTAGTTGAGCTTTTTCTTGAATACCTGCAAAGAAATTACCATAATAATATTTTTATTTGAGAATAAGTGATTTTTTTCTGACATAATATAATATAAGTCTACATTATATGTATTTTTTTGAATGGTATATTATATACGTGTTTAATAGAATATCTTATTCCGAGTACAATGATATTAACATACTTTATATTTTACTATTTTAGTCCACTCGTTCCTGACAAATCAGTAAAAAAAATATGAGGGCAAAGACTCTGGTAGAAAGTTCTCCCTACACACTGTGGAGTAGTTTGCTTTTTTTCATTCGAGATTGTGACCTCGGAGTCTCTGGTCTGTATTCAAGGCATAGAGGTGTTGCTTTTTCATGTATGTACAGCTTCAAGGCTATTACAGTGGTGAATTCTCTGAGAAGAGATTCGGCCCCCAGGTAGGTAGGTACTGGATTTTTCCAGTGTGTGTGCTGCTCAAGAATCTCTTCAGTCTATACTTGAATCTTTTGCTATTATAGTCATGCTATGCATGTTTAATCTCCAACCAGACCTAGCACTGTCGGTTTACGCCGTGTCCACTGTGCCCAACTGCAGGGAATTTTCAATTTCAATCATGTAATTTTAAATTTTGACCAAGGAGATGTTAAATGTGATGTGACAAATAGCGCACTCTCTGATCACGAGGAGGTATGGTGTAGTTTTGCAATAAATAAAAAAGAGAGAAGGGGAGCAAAAAGGCGAGGTAGATTGTTCACGAGAAATAGTTATAATAGGTTCACGCAGCTTGCTTCTTCGGAAAACTGGGGTGATGTGTTAAGCTCTGCAGATCCATTGACAGGTTTCAACTATGTTTTAGCTAAAATTTTTAATGCAAGTTTCCCTTCAAAACGTTAAAAACAAAAAAAAAGTTGGATTACTAAAGGAATAAGAGTTTCAGCAAAAAATTTAAGATGTCTTCACTATACCACATCGATCTATATGTGAAAAACTGTATGCAGAAAATTTTTGAAAATTTGACAGTATACTAATGTCAATGGGGGCAACCCGGCAAAAATATTTTCAAGATGGTGGCACTTCCGGTTATACCGGAAGTAGAAGTCAACTTGCTTATTTTAAATGAGACACCCTGTATGATTGTATATTTGGATTCTACGTAAAATTCTGAGCTATTTTATGTAATATACCCTATACCTAAGTTCAACTGTTTTGGAAATATTGACAGTCGAAAATTGAGTTTTTGCAACTTTGACAAGCTGTAAAACCTAAACGGTTAATTTTAGAGGAAAACCAATTTTAAATTAACAAATCATTTGACATCAAGTTTGAATTTAACCGGAGATTAAGTTTAATTGGAATTTTTAATCATGTGTTAAATTCAAAGTTGGTGTCAAATGATAGTTTATGAAAATCTAAGGCAGGAATGTAAAATTGGTTTTCGTCTAAAATTAACCGTTTAGGTTTTAAAGCCTGTCAAAGTTGCAAAAACTCAATTTTCGACTGTCAATATTTCCAAAACAGTTGAACTTAGGTATAGGGTATATCACATAAAATCTGCTCAGAATTTTACGTAGAATCCAAATATGCAATCATATATAGGCTGTCTCATTTAAAATAAACAAGTTGCCTTCTCGGAAGTGCCACCATCTTGAAAATATTTTAGCCGGGTTGCCCCCATTGACATTAGTATACTGTCAAATTTTCAAAAATTTTCTGCATACAGTTTTTCACATATAGATCGATGTGGTTCCCGGTGGCACACCCTGTATAAGAAAATTCAATATGTGTAATCCATTTTTTGTAAATTATTTCAATAAGTATAGATCAATACCTCCCCTAGCGTACGTACTATCGTATCTCAATTTTTCCAATTTTACAGGAGGCACGATTTCATCTTTTCAGTGACATTCAACCATGTGTTGTAAGAATATGATTCAACTTATATTTATTCTACCATAATAGGGTAGTGGACAATTTTTTGAAATATTTTTTTTAACAATCTCCATAACAAAATAAATAGTAGTTGATAATTCTTTCATTTTAGAACACAAAAATATACCTAAAAAAAATAAACAAATTTGTACTTATTTTAAACGCTATAATTTATCGCCCGGAAATTACGTCATAGCTGTTATATCTTATAGTTTATGTTACCGAACAATCCACCAACTAGGTGACAAAATGTCAATCTTTGCGTTGTTATGGCAAATATTCACGAGCGGAGGTAAAAGACTTTTACTTCCGCTCACGAGCGGAGGTAAAAGTCTTTTACTTCCGTTGTCCATAGTAACCGTCAACTGACATAAAAGTTAAACTTTAACATCATGAAATAAATAGAAAATGTAAGTTTTTTTGACGTTTGAAGAAAAATCACGTATTCAGCAATCCATGGCAAAAAAATCCAAGAATATAGACACTCATTTCGAAAGGGCCATGAATCATTAAGCCTGCAATCAATAATTCCAGAAATATGTTACTCCACTGGTCCAAATAAAGCAATTTTTGAAAATAAGACAATTCAAGTTTAAAATTTATGAAAGTGACAATAACAAAAACGATTCACCTTTAAAATATCCGGAAGATAATAAAATTCAAGATTCTTTGGTAAATTGTGAAATACATATCTACACAAGATGAATTTTCTGCTGGGACCTCAACTGTAGGAAATAATTTGGATAGCTCTCAAGCAACTTGTATCTTGTATCAAAGAAAAATATACAATATGTGACTTTGAATTTACCAAAAAGACTTATTTAGTTGAATGTTTAAAATGTGACAGTTGGTTTTGCCTATTCTGTTCAAAGGACCATGCACGGATCTTATGAGAAAAAAATAAATTTCACGATTGGATTGTCATGAAATTGAAATATGTTATGCTTCTCGACCTCCTGAACGTAAGTTCTCGTAGGCCCAAAAAGATCCTATGATTAGTTTCGGAGATACAGAGCCAGGTTAACATACAAAATTTTGACAAAAAATAAACATTTCAAAATATGTTGAGTTGAGGCAATGACATATTCTAGGTTAAAAACGGGTGGAAAAATGCCAAAGTAATGTCATCTCAAACTTTGAAGGTTGAAAACTTGTCGAAAAGTACCAAAAATATGTAATTTTTGGTTATGAATTAAATTAATGTACCAGCAGATTCTGGAGATTTTTCTTGTACTACCTTTTTTTATCGGTGCTGTATCACCAAAACTAATCATAGGATCTTTTTGGGCCTACGACAACACACGTTCAGGAGGTCGAGAAGCATAACATATTTCAATTTCATGACAATCGTGAAATTAATTTTTTCTCATAAGATCCGTGCATGATCCTTTGTTTCGCCATCATCAGTACTACTTGTCAGGTTCCAACATATTAAGTTAAAATTGTAAAAGGACAATCAATATTTCATTAGCTATATCTACAGTCATCACACACAAACTTAATCATCAAAAAGTCTCAATAACTTACCCTGATTGGCATACATATGAAACACCGTACAATAATGAGGTAAATGTCGTCCGTGTTCGCTGACTTCGCGCTGCAACAGCGCCAACAAGGCCCACATCACGTGATCGCTCAAAGTGGCGTTCGGATCCGGATTGTTGATGCCCGCCGGACAAGGACAGGGCGGATCTTTTATTGAGAAGTGCGCCAACAACACGACTATCTTGATAAAAGCCGTCCTCACCTCGTTACTAGGACAACCGAGCAAGTACTCACAGAACCGACCCATGTGGTTGAGCAGAATATTTGTTCCGAACCAAGTACGGATCGTCGGCGTTGTTCTCAATAGTACGCAGAGTACATCGCACCTGGAAGTTGATTTATTTTATTGAAAATAATTACAATCATACAAAAAGGTTCTTACCAATCCATAGCTGGTCCCCTGAGAGTTTTCTTAGTATGCCAACCAGTATGAAATAGGAAATTACTAACAAGCTGAACGCTAAGCATGTGTTGTTGATCCATCAATTCGTTTGAAAGGGTGAGGCTGTGCCTGTGATTCGTCGGCGCGCAACTGGTTGCCAATTTTCTTATAAACGAAAAATACTCCATCGTAAACTGACTGCGGTGATGCAAAAATTTGATATTCTGTTTCCTTATACTATTCTCTATGGCTATGGGCATTTTTAGGTGGGTCTCCCTTCTCGAAGACACTGAAATTTGTCACAAAATTAAACGAATTAGTTAAAATTAATTGTTAAACAATCCTTACCCATACTTAATTGATTAATAGATTTGACTAAAGACTCGTCCTCAACGTCATGCCTCGTATAAAACAACATGTAAGCGTTCCACCATCGTTTTTGCCTCCGATATGCCGTTCTTTTTAGCATTGGATCAAATACTTCGCTCATGTAGTCGCCACCGAAACATTGGACTTTCATTTCTTCTTCCTCGCCCATCCGACATTCTGTTACGTCACCGTCGTCAAATTTGTACCATCTCACTTCACCTGATGGGTCACGGTGTCTAATGTAAGAATAATAGTGTCCCCCTGAAAAAAGATTTTTTTTTTAAAGGTAAACAAAGCACATTGTATTTTTATTCTAACAATGTCCATTATGGGGAAAATGAACGACTTTATACTTATTGTAAATATTAAGAAGTTATAGTTAGCTGTATTGAAGAGCTGTCACATCTGAAAAAGGCGCATGAGAGAAGTCTAAATGAGATAAAAAGTAAAGACATTATCATGGAAGAGTATCAGATTAAAAATGACGACTTGGAGACAGAGATTAAAAAACTACAAATAGAGATATTGGACAAAAATAAATACATTCTCAGACTGCAGAGAGGGTCCAGAAGCTTTGAGGATCTTGTATATGATAGAGAGGATGAAATGCATAAGAAAATTCAATACCATGTGAATATAATTGAAAAATTAAACAAGGACGTTCAAAAACTAAATGAGGAAATTATTCACCATCAGAAGGAAAAAGAAGAAATAAATGAAAATCTGGAAAATTTAACCAAAAATCTACATGAAAGTGAGAAAAAAAATCAAAATATGGCATTAGAAATTACAAAGCTTAATAATTGTAATAAAAATAAAATTGAAACATTGAATATATCTAAAAAGTCTGGAGATCAATCCAACTACAGTCTACAGCTGGAACTTAGAAATCTTGAAGCTGAAAAAGGAACAGAAATTAAAAACTTAAATATCAGAATTAGTGATTTAACAGATGAGAATCGAGAGTTTTTAGAAAAGGCTAAAAACATTCAAAATACTAATAATAAATTAAAACAAGAACTATGTGAACTGAAAGAATTGCAGAAGCAAATGATTGTCAGTCTGAATACCATGGAGGAAGAAAATAAACTATACAACACAGAAATAAGAGAACTTAAAAACAAATTATGCCAAACGCAGACAGCAATGAAGAAGCCCACAACTGAAAATAAATTGCAAAAGGATAAAAATAAAAACTTTTATAGAGAGCCGCAGAAAAAAAGAAACGTGGAAAGTGTATATGACAATAACACGCCCGGTAATGTTCAGCAAAAAACATATGTGCAAAAACCCAAAATATTACTGCTAACTGATTTATATGGCAAATATCTACACGAATACATTAGCAGTTGCTTTGGTGAGGGTTGTATTCTTCAAACAGTTTGCAAACCAAATGCAGGGTTGTCAGATATTGTTATGGATTTGGACTGTTACATCAAGGGCTTTACACAAAATGACTTTGTTATTACATTTGCTGGCTTCAGTAAGTTATACGTTGACAAAAAAAGTATAATAAATCTTTCTAATAAGTGTTTTCAAACTAATCTTTTAATTTGCACTATGCCAGCTAGGTTTTTATCTAGATATAAGCAAGATTTAGTACATAGGATGAATCAAAGCCTTATTAAGTATGTTGAGCTGTTGAAGTCTTTTTCGATAAGTGTAGATTTGCTGGATGTGGAGAACGCCTTTCGACCAGCTGACTATATTAGAAGCACACCTTTCTTAAAGAGAAGTGGCCTTAAATCTCTTTCAAAGTTGATGTTTAATTCTATTAACAATTTTTTTAACAAAAAACCCCTCTCTAATTTGAAATTTGTTTCGCTTGTTGAGGAATTAAATAACTTAAATTATGGTCAGTGTGCTCAGTCAGCTCGGTTGGGTGAACGGGCCCCTTCCCAGAATTTAGATTTAGATTTGGATTTAGGTTTAGATTTGGGTTTGGATTTGGATGTGGTAGATTTGACTGCTGAAAGTTGTTTCGAAAGTGACAAGGTTGATTTTTTAGATCCAGGCCACACAAAGCGGTCAACATTAGTTTAGTTGATAATCGGGGCGTAAAAAACAAAAATAACAAACATCAGAATTCTGCTTTACTACTAAATATTCAATCACTCCGAAATAAAACAAACGAACTACACTTGTTTTTAAATGAGAATAATAATCCAAATATAGTCCTTATTACGGAACACTGGCTGAAAGAATATGAATTAGTTAATGTACCTGACTATGTTATTGTGTCAAGATTTTGTCGTTCTAGCAATGAGCATGGGGGTTGTATGATTTTACTGAGGAAGTCTTTTTTGGATCTAAATTTGTTTGAACCCATAAACAAATTTAATATTCTGCTAAAGGAATTAACTTTTGAGTTCACTATGATTTTTTCAAGAAAACTAAACCTCTATGTAGTCTGTGTCTATAGATCACCCAAATCTATTACAACTGAATTTTTGACAGGCCTGGATTGTCTTTTGGCTGAAATTTCTTCATCATCTAATGTTCTGCTTGCTGGGGATTTTAACATAGATTACAGAGACGGCAATGCAATATCCACCGTTGCATTAAAAAATATTTTTATCTCTAATGCCCTGAATATGCATGTCACAACACCCACACGTATAACAAAAACAACATCAACCTTAATTGACTATATTTGTTCCAGCTATAGTCAGGAAGAGGTAGAATGTAGGGTAGTTAATTCAGCATTGTCAGATCATGAGGCAGTGGTTTGTGACATATCGGAGCCCAGAGTGATAAATAAACAAAAATCTAGGCGCGGTAGAATATTCGACAGAAGCAGCTTTAATAGGTTTTACCAATCATGTAGCTGGGAAACCTGGAATCAAGTGCTGACATCTGATGAGCCTTTAAGTTCATTTCACCAGAAAACGACAAGGATTTTTAACAATTGTTTTCCTGTAAAAAATATAAAAACAAAAAGGGAAAAACCATGGTTTACCAAGGGCTTGAAAACTTCCTCTAGGAATCTTCGCTGTCTTCATAGGATTAGAAAATATACAGATAGTCCATTTTTTTATTCTTACTTTGGTTCCTACAGGTCTTTGTTTCGTAGACTGATTGCAGCTGCAAAAAAACGGTACTACTCCGATCGTCTAAGTAATTCTTCTAACAAACAAAAAGAATGTTGGCATATTATAAATAATATTCGTTCTAATAATTTTCAGAGGTCACTATCACATCCGGAAGTTTCTTCTGACAACCTGAATCAGTACTATTGTAATATTGGGAAAAATTTAACAAAAAACATAGGAATTCGTAAAGATCCAATGTTGTATATGTCTCATATTTCAGTACCCAATTCATTTGCATTTACACCAACCGATTTAGCTGAAGTTAAGCAAACATTAAAAGGCATCAAGAACAAAAATGCATCGGGAGAGGATGGATTGTCTGTCAGAGTATTGCTTAATATGCCTGAAGTTATTATAGCCGATATTTTAGTCAAAGCTTTAAATCACTCTTGGACGAGCGGGGTATTTCCTTCGAGCTTAAAATCGGCTTTAGTGATCCCGCTTCATAAGGGTGGAATTGAATCTGACCCTGCTAGTTTTAGGCCCATTTCAATGTTGTCTACCTTGTCTAAATTAATTGAAAAACTAACAAAAACTCGAATCATGTCATATCTTGAGTGCAATAAATTATTGAGCAATGCACAATTTGGCTTTCGCACCAATACAGGTACTAATAATGCTATGTTCAATTTGCTTTCACAACTCTTTTCTTCTTTAAATAAGTCAAATGTATCGGCCGCGGTTTTTTGCGATCTGGCTAAGGCCTTCGATTGTGTAAATCATTCTATTCTTATGAAGAAACTGTACCATTATGGGTTTAGGGGGGTGGTTTTATCATGGTTCGAGTCTTACTTACAAGGAAGGACACAGCGAGTAATTGTTAATGATCAGCCATCAGAACCTGGAAACATTGAATGGGGTGTACCACAGGGGTCGGTCTTGGGTCCTCTCCTTTTTCTGATATTTTTTAATGATCTTGCCAGGCTCAATATACAAGGAAAGTTTACCATTTTCGCTGATGACACTACGATTCTGTGGTCTTGTAGTGATGTTGACACTTTAAGAACCATGATTTCAGGGGATTTGGATCTTCTTAAAGAGTGGTTTGATTCGAATCTGTTAACTTTAAACGTCGATAAAACTAATATAGTTTGTTTTAGATGCAGTATAGATGACCTAAGGGTGGGGGGTGATTCTCTGACAGAGCGTAATCACAGCAAATTCTTGGGCTTGACAATCGACTCTGGCTTGAAATTTGAGGATCATATCGGTATGTTGAGTAAAAAAATTGCGTCTGGTTGTTATGCAGTGAAAACAACAGTTAACGAACTCGGATTCGCTTTTGGAAAGACGGTTTATCATGCTTTGATAGAGTCGCACCTACGTTATGGTATTGCCTTCTGGGGTTCTACCAACAACCAACTACTTCAAATAATTTTTGCTTTGCAAAAGCGGGCAATACGGTATTTGTGTCATGCCAAATTTAGGGAGTCATGCAGGCCTTTGTTTGTGTCTAAAAAGATTCTAACGGTCATATCTTTGTATATTCTAGAATCTGTTTCTCTTATATATGTGCATCAGAATGACTTTCTTCGTCTGTCGGGTGGATACAACACAAGATCTGTTCAGCAGAGAGATTTGCAACTTCCGATTCCGAAATCTACTCTGGTTCACAAGTCAATCTGCTACAATGGCATAAAAATGTTTAACCATCTGCCTCAAAAAATTAAGATGTCCCCGAATCTAAAAATGTTTAAAAGAATGGTTACAGTTTTACTTGTTGATAGGGGCTATTATAGTCTGGAAGAGTTTTATCAAGACAGATTTTGACACAATTAGCTTGGTTGGTTGCATGACATTCAACTCTACACTTAATAAAAAAAAAAAAAAAAAAAAAAAAAAAAAAAGTATAAAACATGCATACAAGAACTGCCCGTTTTTCAACTGATCTGTGATATTTTCGGTTTTTTAAAGTGTTAATTTTATGTAAATTTTAAATTGTTTTAAGTTTTAGACTATCTTAACCAGGTTTTTTATGTAGGATATGTATTTTAGTATAAGCAAGCCTTATTTTGTATGTGACTAGTTTTAGGTTATTCGCTTTGTCCACAAAACAAATTGTATAGTTTTTTATGACAATAAAGCACATTATCTATCTATCTATCTATCTATCTATCTATATTGTTACCTGATGCCTGTCCGGAATGAACAACAATGCCAGACAATCGATATTTGGTACAAACGTCGCTAGCGTTAGGATCTAAATTACAGTCTATAATCTCTCCCTCGATTTTGACCAAGCCGGAAACAGTGTAAGGCTCCATGTCTAATTCTCTGGGAAATTCGAAATAATCGTTAAATTTAATGGCACATACTCGTTCGAAATCGTATTCGAATCGTTTCAATTGGATCGCTAGTATTGGTGGCAGTTTTTTCACGCACAACCGTTTGACTGTGAGCACTTTTTTTGCGCACTTTTCGCAATGGTAAGCGTCCGGACCTTCTAATAGTTCTCCTACAAACAAAAATAAAACAAATTAAAAAAAATATTTTTACAAAGAGGATAAAAAAGTCTAGATCTTTGGCCCAATGTGACAGTTCTTGAATAATTCTTTTTGGCTTCCACAAGAGAAAAACTTTTGCAAATAGACCCAGAAGCAATATTATTCGAGTCCAAGTACCAAGCGATTTTAAAATTTATTCTTGGCCTATTTAGCTCCAGGAGGATTCAAAAATTCTTCAATAGCTTCAAAAAACATCAGTGGTTGTTTTTGTTTTATTAGTAGTTCTGTGAGAAACCTGATGTAATATTACGTGATCTAGGTACTTGATATTCCTCTTGGTTTTTGGATATTCATAGTGTTGTGTGGGCAACAGGTTTGTCAACGTTTCAGGAGATAAGAACACAAGCAGTGTTGCCATATGAAGTTCCATAGAGTTGCAATGGAAGACCATAACTTAGTAAACATAAAGGACCAAAACACTAAAAAAGCATTACAAAACCTTTCAAATGATGTCTTCACCAAAACTCCAAAGTACATGGGCAAGACCAACTTAATAAAACACAGAATTGAAATACAGACAGACACCAGACCAATAAAAAAGCGCCCTTACAAAGTATCACAGCTAGAAAGGGAAAAGATATACAAGCAAATAAAGGAAATGTTAGAACATGATATCATCAGGCCATGTCACTCCCCATGGACAAGCCCAGTGGTGTTGGTAACCAAGAAAGACGGATCTACAAGATACAAAACTTATGGCGTTTCCGATTGGTAGATTCAGTGCGCACTGAGTGTATTTGCATCCTTTTAATCGACCTGTAGAAGAAAAAGAGAGAAATAGAAAAAATTGCACTAGTTCCGCACTAAATGTACCAATCGGAAACGCCATTAATAATGTGACAAAAAAAAAAAAATTATCCATTACCTCAAATCGATGACATATCAAGTTACCTGGGTAAAGCGAGATATTTTAGCATTGACATGTTCACAGGATGAAGTATTATGTTTGGCAAGTGGTAACTTGGTAGAGACGAAAGGGGGAAGAAAAGTGGGACCTAACCTGAGAATATTCACTGACACCTCAACTGACACCGCCTGATGACAACCATGTCTTTGGGTTCAGTGGCATCGAAAACACCAAGGAAATAAACCAAAAAATTATTAGGAAAAAAATTCTTGAGGGTCACGAATAACCACGCCACTGGTGCTGTCATTCAGGCTCTAACCAATAGAACCATGCATCTGAATAATCACGCCTCTCCGCTTTCTTCATTTCGTAATGTTGCCGGATTTTTTCCTATTTCAAAATACTACACCGCCCATATTGCAAAAAAAAAATATGTCATCAACTTGTTTATTATTGTTTCTGCCAAGTTTGGCATAGCAGCAAATTCTTTTTGAGTTCGCCGTTTGGCTAGCCAGACTATATATGGATGACATTATCATTTTCTCAAAAACGGAAGAGGAACACATACAAAAATTAAGAAAAGAAAATGACATTCTAAATTATAGGCCTATTGGTTTGTTGAACAGTTTAGTCAAAATCTTTGAAAACATTCTTTATGAGAAAATATGAATGTATAGAACATTAAATCAGCGGGTTTCAGCATGATTTTGTAAAGGATAAATGCACTATAACAGACCTGTGTTCACGCTCTGAGCAGATCTCAAAGGCTGTTGAGGCAAGGGAGCAGTTGGATGTCCTGTACACGGATTGTGAGAAGGCATTTGATAAGGTGAATCATTGTGTTCTCTTAAATAAATTGGTTGAATTTGGGTTCTCCAGAAAGGCTTGTTGAAATCCTATTTGATGGGGAGAAGGAATAGTGTTAAGATAAGTGATTGTTTCTCTAGTGAATATATATCAATCTCTGGAGTCCCACCACAGGGTATTAAGCTTGGGTCATTGCTTTTTATGTTATTTATCAACGACTTGCCTAACTGTGTAAATTTATCTATTGGCTTGATATATGTAAAAGATTTTAAGCTGTTCAAAACCATATCTGTTAAAGAAGATATTCTGAAATTACCAACTGACTTGAAGTCAATAGTTGAATATTCCAACAACTAAGAGAAGCAAACGTTACCCAACAACCCAGTACATATCTCCAAGCAGAAATAAAAATGTTGGGATTTACAGTAAATAGAAGCGGGATAAAACAAAATAAAGAAAACCTAAAAGGTATTACAGAGTTCCAGAAACCAAGGAAGTTAAAGGAAGTACAAAGCTTTTTAGGACTTTATAATTTCTATCGAAAATTTATAAGAGATTTCTCCTCGATCGCCAGACCGTTGCATCAAGTTACAAGAAAAAATAATTTCAAATGGGGGCCAAAGCAAGAAGAAATATTCAACATCTTGAAAGAAACACTAACGAGCGCCTCTATCACAACATTACGACCCCGAAATAGGATGCACCCTACATACCGACGCTTCAATAGCGGGAATAGGGGCAGTCCTTCTACAAAAGGGAGAAGACATTGAAGACAAAAATTTACACCCAGTTGCATATATAAGCAGAAGTCTGTCAAAAGCAGAACAAAATTACGCATTACGCAATCACAAAGCTAGAGCTTTTAGCAGCAGTCTGGAGTCTAGGATATTTTTACTTAAGTCACCTAGCACAGACGTCCTCTAGAGATAGTAACTGACCACCAGGCACTATGCTAGTTGAATTCCATTAAAGAAAATAATAGAAGACTAGCAAGATGGGCCAATAAACTATCAGAGTACGATTACAAAGTGATTTACAAAAAGGGTAGCGCACACAACGATGCGGAGTGTTTATATCATGGAACCCAGTACTTAACGCATTATCACCAACTGAGGAAAAAAAAACGGACGAAATACCCAGCTTCGCCAAATCAGCAACTTACAAAAACAGGACAAATATGTGGAAGAAATTATGAGAACGGTAGAAACCCAGATGACACCAATACCCCTATAGCAACAAGGAAAAGAGTGAAAAATTTTAAGATAAATAATGATACTTTATACAAAACTAGTTATACAAATGAAGGATTAGAAAACTTACTAGTGATCTCAAAAAGTCTAATAGGGGAGATACTGTGGGAAATGCACGTGGCACCAACCGCAGGACATCTAGGACTAATCAAAACAATTGATGAATGTAGAAATACATACTACTGGGTAGGGATGTTAAAAGATGTCGAAACACATAAAAGGATGCGTCGACTGCCAAGCACAGAAAGGAAAACCCTACAGAAAAGTCCCAGGTTCTCTGCAACCAATATGCAGATTGGTGTAGCTACGTGCCATTTGTCACTTTTGCTTATAATACAGTGATTCAGGTTAGCACAAAGCTAACCCCATTTATGGTGACTTTCGCCAGGGAACCGACATTACCGCCGGAGGCAATGCTACTGAATGAAGACGTGGAGACGAATATGCTACAACTAAGAAAAAGAGCCTTGAGTATAAGAGCCATATAGCAGCAGAAAACATATATAAAAGGCGAGGGAAAGACAAAGTGAGGTTTGATAGCAAACACAAGGATTTGCAATTTGATATAGGATATAAAGTTAAATTTTTTATACCAGTAAGGAAAATGGGCCGGAGTGAAAAGTTATTATTGAAATGGTATGGACCATACAATATAGTAAGAAAGTTAGAAGTAGATTATGAAATACAAAAAGTTAAAGGGAAAAAGGAGGACACAGTCCACGTTAGTAGGATATTACGCTACTACGACCCTTGGACTGCAGATTCCCCAATTTTAGAAGACTTACTAGAGGATCCAGAGGAAGATCAAATAAATGATATCGACGACAATGAAGATTGAAGGAAGATTAAGGCAGGGCCTTAAGTTGTATAGGATAAACGCGTAAACGAGCAAAGTCCGGATTAATACTCATAATTGTAACATATAGTATAAAAATAGATTTAAAAAGGTAGACACATAATTTTTCAAATAAGGAACTAATCTTAGAATGAAAGAGCTTGCTAAAAAAGTCATTCTAGACCTCCTAAAGTTAACATGATCACGACACTTTGGCTGACGTTTATTCGTTGACGAACGTGAAACCTGAAGCCTAAGTCGAGTTATCTTTTAAATAAAATACAAGGAATATTTTTATTTTCAATAGGGATAGGTAGAATTAAGAGTTTAGGGAATGCCTATAGCATTCTGTAAATAGGTACCTTTTATAGGTTAATCAATCCTAATTTTAAGTAGACTTTGTAGTGAACCATCACGGATCCGTAGATGTAATACAACTAAAAATATACAATTATTTAGCAGGAATAAGCCCTTAGACACTTTGGATGATTTAGAAAAACATATTGTATCAATTTTAAGTTGAGGGATCACGAATAAAACAAACTGTCTATATATTAAGGGTCTTCTTAGCCTGATGCAATAATACACACTCATCATGGGAAACTCCAACACCTTGAAGTCCATGGGACAAGGGAGAAGACGCATTTCGAAGCAGGCCTTCTCTGATACCAACACTTCAAAACGCAGCCCCAAAATGGAATAAAACATTATGAACAAAGAAATAGTAAAAAAACAAAGTTACCTTCAGGATCCTGACGATGCAGCTGCCGAAAAACTCGTTTTTTAAGGAATCGGTTTTGATCTGTAGGAAAATTGGAAAGATGATGAAATAAATGACGAAACCACATAAGCATGACTTACCAATCATGGTCAGAATGAAAAACTAATAATTGATGACCTACTTCCGCATAATCGAACAAAATCCACCAACCAGTGGGACAACCCATAAGTCACTATGTCCTTAAGCCATACAACTGTCCACAAGCCAGTGGGACAATTAAACAATCCATAGGACTGTTCACCAACCCATAAAACCACTAGAGCAGTCTACAAATCACCACAACTACCCACAAGTCAGTGGGACAGCCACTTCCAAGTCACTGCCCACAAGCAAGTTGGCACACACAGAATCCAGTAATTTGAAGAATTTTTAAGTTTTTTAAATTGTAAGCACATGATGTTCTTTCACTGGCATTGGGGACCAATGCTTTCACAGGGGGGGCAAATGTCAACTCATAGATATCTACAGGCCCACAGACTATAAAAATAAAATGAATTTGGCGCTCGTACTATAGAAAATTAACTGACTCTGCTGACCGGCCCAGTAAAGTCACAAGATTCTCATTCAAAAAACTCATTCAGAAGTCAACAAGAAGGCCTCAGTAAAATATAGAGAAATTACTAAAAATAAAGTTTTTCCAATTTGCAGAGAATTTAAGTTTGGAATACAGAAACAGAAACTTACTCCAAACGATTCAATAACTGTCACATTACCCAAATAAATACCTTACCTTTAACGTATTGTTCCAGAGAATCAGGCAGCGTGCTATGATTTCTAATATCTACACTTATAACACTAAAAGGTTCCTCTTTGCAGTAACGATGCGGACAGCCTTTGCAGATTTTCTGATCCGAATACGAGCCGCCCAACACTTTGGACATAATTTGCTCGTGACCCAAAGTTTTCAAGGCTTCGTCCAAGCTTTCTACTAGAGACATGAAAAATTCCACCGCGTCTTGTTGCTCACGCAAATTCACCGGCTCCCCTTGTAGTTTGAAGTGTCGCCATAGCCCTCTGGGCACATAGTATTGCAGCCTAGAGCAAGCCAGGTGACCAAAAATGGCTTGAACTTGCTTCAAAATTCCTACATTGTAATCCTTTCGGTTATCTATAATACAGATACGATCTTCCTGAGTGTCTATGTCCAAATCGATTCGATCTTCTCCTGTAAAGTCTTCGTTTGGATCAGTAGTTGCGCCTTCGGCCGCCAAAATTCCTTGCTTTATATTTTCTACCATGTACAATTGTTGCAATACAGAATTCATGTAGCATGTGGCACCTGCGTTTTTTAAACCTACGAATCCTCGAAAAGGTCTCGGACCTACAACCGGTAAATAATCCCATTCCTGTATGGCCGTATCTGGATCTGAATAGAACATTTCCGTTAACATGTTGACTAATTGTTTGTAATTAGGTACGCACTGGACGCATAAGGAAATGAGTAAATCGAAAGCGGCAGCTTGAGTTTGCGGCGTGTCACATATAGGTATAGCAGGATCTTCGCCTAATTGATTAGTTTTTATAAGTTGCAGCTGCAACTTGCTGGCAGGAAACAAAAAATCCTCCAACAATTCACAAATTAAACTACCGCCTTCCGCGCTGCCTAATTCGCACTTTTGCTCCTGATCCATAAACATCAACAATTCCCTGGCCAAACCCAAATGACCCTCGATTAGGACTTCGTTTTTGTCTCGAGCCTTCCTCAGCCACGCCACTTCTTTCGCCAATAGTACTTTGGCATCGTTTAATGGGCAAGACATCAAGTAAGCGACGCTGACTAGCCTGTTTAAAAGTTGGAAACATTCGTGCGAGTTGTTCGCGTATTCCAGTACCATTGAATCCAGCAGCGAGAAAAGTAGCGGCATGATTAGTTGTAAAGCTATTCGGCTCGCAGCCCCACATGTACAAATGACAATTAGTTGTTCTGCCGCTGCAATACGGACCGTACAGTTGGGGTTCAACAGTACGAGATCCGTAATGAAATCTGGCCACCTAGAAAGAACAATAGATTTTTAGTTTGTACACTACTTGAAGAATATTTAATTTGTAGTTATTCTAATAGTGGACGTAACAACATTGATATTTGGTGTAAGTTGTTGCTTGGTCATTGAGGTACTTATAAGATTTATTACCCAGACATTTAGACTGGGAGAAAGACATAGAATTAGTTGGGTCATGGAAGTTAATTAATGTAGAGATTTTGAAGCTTGCATGGTTTTAGTAATGTAGTCATAAGCTTTTTCTGCAAAGTAATGTCAAGATTTGTGAAGCGGACATAGAAAATGTCACTTGCAAAAGCATTTCAAAGGTATATTTCTTGTTTCTACAGGATCACTCATTCACACCTTTTCTATCAGTTTTGTTATAATTCAAAAAAGAAAATCACCTACCAGTTGTCTTGATACAGGTGTTCCAAGCTGCTCGGATTCAATATCACTGCGATGCTAAGCAACTCCAAAGCTTCCTTGCAAAGCAAAAGGTCGTCACAGTCCAGTTCCATGGGCGTTTCTTGTTTCGACGGATCCGATAACGAGTGTAGAGTTTCGGGAGAGGAATTTAAAGAACCTAAATTGTTACTACTAGCTGCCCATACCAGTCGAACTAGCGCCAACGTCGTAGCAAGATCGGGCAGTTCCCAATTTAAAGCTTGACTAAATAGGGCTTGCGCTTGACCCGAACTAGTGGTTTCAGCTACCATTAGTTGGGCCAGGCCTTGGGATAATTTGATACTGACTTGACGTAGAAGCTAAAAAGTTATTTTTTTTATACATAATTGAATGAGCAACAATAGGAGTTCTTACATAATCTGAAGGTCCAGGCACTGATTTCAAAGCCTGTCTCAAATGCATTCCAGGCGTAGTGATATTTTCGTTAAAATTCTCATTTTCTGGAGGCGTATGATCCTCGCTGAGCCTAACTAATACGTGAGCCACAGAGGTAAGTACTAATTTGCATATTTTTAAGACTACCAAATATGCCGAACGCCGCGTAATACTATCAGCACTAGATAAAAAGTTGTTTTTGGTTAACATTTCTAAAAAGACGTGCGCTTCTCCAGAAGTAATAAAAGAATATTGAAACTCGTAGGATTTGTCCGATAGAGTATCCATTGCAGGCATTAGCATGGCATAAAGGACTTCCAAATTGTATAATACCTACAATTAAAACATAGCAATTATAAAAATATTATAAATTTTAGTTGCACTAACCTCAGCTGGAGTTGCACTAAAAAACAGATTATCCATGCTAAGAGTCTGCTCTAAAGGCGTACCAAATAGCGTTTTTAATTTTTCCATGGTCAAAACAGAGCAAGGCAACAATTTCAATAGAGCGTGCCCACTACTTCTCAAAGCTGGAAACTTCATTTGACTACCCAAAGTCATCAGCTGGCAGAAAAACTGGGCGTAACTCGCATTTTGCGACATCAATACGCCAGGCAACATATTTTCAACATCACTATTGGGCCCGTCATATAAATGTTGCGGCGAAGAGGTAGAACTGTCAGAACTACTGTCCTGAGATGAGGCCATGTTGGAATTAACTGGAGTTATTTTTGCCAAAACTATCATTTTGTCACGTATGGGACATTGTGATAATAATTTTCTATCGTCCGCGGGTTCTAGTGGTTCACCGTTTGCAAACAGTTCTACTTTACAATGCACGCCAGGCTTGAATCGTCTTAAAATCGATTTTCTTAGAGAGGCTAAGGTTTCATTTGTGTGGGTGTGTAGTTCAAAATCTTCCATTTGCCTGTTTAAACTTGAAAACCTTATTATTAATGCCAAATGCTTGCCATAACATGCCCTAAAAAGTAATTTCAATTAGTAAATAATTATGTAAAAGTATTTTCTAAGCTGATTCCATCACTGTCTGGTGAAGTTTCTACTTTGAAACACACCAAAAACGGTCATATTTGTTACTAAAACAGTGCATGCAGTAGATACTTCAACTTCAAGCAGACAAAGATATTATTTCAACTGAGAGTTCTTACCTGTGTAAAGGTAAAATTTTCCTTTCACCCACAAAAGCATTATCACATTCGCTTATATATTCGTGCAGGACCTTCATGACCCTGCACATTTTCACAGCCTCGGATCTAATTCTGTTTGATATCTGAGAAGCGTCCATTTCCTTGTCTGTTATTGATTTTTGTAAAATCGTAACCGTATCGTAATGAGCCCTCAATCTATCGAAACATTCTCCAATGTATCGTTCGTGGAAATCAAATTGATTTTGTATTAGTTTTGGGCCCAAGCTAGTGCTGACCTCTCTGAGTAGCTCTATAGCCCTGGCTGCTATGTCGTCAGTGCATAAAGTAACAACCTGAATAGAACAATTTTTATGTTAGGAAAATATAAAATTGCATCGAGTTACCTTCCAAAGATAATCAATCCCAATCAGATCCGGGTCGTCTGTCATGATAGTACGACGCTTCGTTTTCAATTTGCCCTCCTTAACATTAACTGCCTTAAAAAAGCGTTCAAAACATCTAATTCCGCTCTCTGTTAACAGCACAGGATCAATTTGTAAAATATTACTTTCAAAAAAATCTTTATTAATGCCCGGATCCAAATCAGGTTCTTCGCCCATTAATTTGGAGAACCAACGGAAACACGCTTCTCGGTCTGAAGGGAACACTGCATTTTCAGCTAAGCATTGCCAAATTTCTTTTGCTTGATCCGCACAAAGCCATAGTTGGCCATCTTTCAACAAAAACCTGTAAATTGCTCTAAATAAATACAACTCTGCCCAAACCTGATATAAGCTACCTCAGAAAATTAAGCCTCTCTTGTACTTGTAACAGATGAGGATACCGACCGTCCGGCATATAGGTTTCGGCAGTCAGTTCCGGTCTGTCTTTGTACAAAGTCCTTAAATTTGCCATATAAGTTGTAAGGCTATTTGTCACTAAAATGACAAGAGAGTGTTGATTTTGAAGCCTTTCGATTACCTCTTGTCTGAAGTAAGTGTGGTGGGTGTGTTGGGGATGACTATTGTTGGAATTTTGTTCATAGAGTGTACAAATTTCGCGGATTTGTTTGAGAGCCGGTAACACCCACGAGTCGCCCGTTTTTAGTTCTTCTACCCATTTGTCTAACCAAACCTGGAATAAAAAATTTCAGTAATAGGCTTAAAGAGACTTATAATCCTGGAAATTTGTTTGTTATAGAACATATAGTGCCCTATCAAATAATATTGGTACTTTACTAGGAATAGTTACCGTTTTCTGAGCATCCCGTTCCTGCGCACAACTATAATCTAGAATTTTTACATGGGCAACCAACGCCTGATCCAAAATTTCTGTGGCAACATCCTCGGCATGAGCCAAATTCCAAAACAACGTCAAAACCTTATGGGCCATAACTCCGTCTTTATCGTCTTCAGCCAGCCTCCTAAATCACCATATTAATATGTTTAATTTAATTTTCGAAAAAAAAAAAAACATTACTAACCGAATCAATTCGAGCAATCTTTCTCTATGCTTTTTTGACTCTGACGTCCAGCTATTCTGGAAACACTCAAAAAGATGATCTAATTGCTCAGCACTAAAGTCCCAAGCTAATTTTGCCAGGAGTTCGTGAACGTTTTTCACTATAGCTTCGTGTTTGCCCACCTGAGCTGCCCATACAGCGTCCAAATCACTCAGACTGAGTGCTCTTTCTTTAATTACAAATCTTAATATTTTTTCAAATTTTTCTACATATTGAGGCTGATGTAGCGAATCTCTCAAGACTATTTCCAGGACTTTATTGTCGTTGATCCATTTCTAAAGAAAGAAACCGTTAAGATTTGAGCCAAGCAAGAATTATCAGAAATTGTGATACTTACTGCCATTCTTTCGGGAGTCAAATATTCCTCTTCCTCAATCCCATGATGCCGATTAGGATAATAAGTTACGCCCGATATAACCTTATTAATTTCATTGAGTGCATTCATTTTTCCATTAAAACTAGAAATTTGTAATTGCCTCAATATCATCGTTAAACGGAATCCTTCGAATGTCCGTATCAATTCCTCTTGTTCCGGTACTCTAGACGCGAGATTTTTCGCGGACCTAATTATCAATGAAACTACATCGCTTTTTTGTTCATTTTTTGCTTCTTTTTTTAATTCTTCGTCGGTTAGTTTGTCCAGGATACCTGGTACCATTTCCTACAAAGTAATTAAATATTATTATTGGATATTTTAAAGCAAATGAATAATTGAAATGTACCACTAACTACTTACCAATACAGGAAGTACATACTTATGTATAGTATGAGGGGTCAAAAATTCATAACAAAGACCAAAAGGAGTTAAAAGTGCATAAACAATGGACACACTCAAATTTTTACCACTCTGAAATCGTTCCAGCAACTTTTGGAATCCGCCCAATTCTCCAAATCGATTAATTAAATCAACTAGCCAACCTCTAGGATTCCTTAGATCCGGCGATGGCCTGGCATACAATTCTTCTTCGCTCAAAATACAGTTGGGTCCGGCCGTTTCGCTTTGCCTCGAAGAATTGAAACTGTGAAACTTATTGTTTGGATTCAGAACCATGGCCAAAAGTTCTAGCAACGGGAACCAATCCTGGGATAATTTAGTGACGCACAATTCAATGAGTTTCAGACAATTTTGATAAATGCAAACGTGAATGTTGGGCTTCCAGCTAGTGACGGCGTCATCTGTTAGGATTTTTGTGAATGAAACTGTTAGGCCGTCTCGAAAAAATCGCTGGCAGGCTTCCGATTTAATGTCCAAATTCTTTTTCGCCAATACAATGGAGGCTTTTAGTAAGACTTCTAATTCTTGATCGGGCAATACCGGTACTACCCATCTTGAACTAGATATTTTCTCTTCTAGGGTGGCTAGTTTATCCTTTGGGAAATCCGGTTCGAAGTTTTCATCTTGCTGCTGAATTTCTTCGTTGGTTACATTTGATGGGCCCGCTATCGCAATCGGATGCTGTAAATAGAGTTTATTAATTAGAATTAAATGGAGTATAAAATTGTTTGTCTAATAATAAGAAGAAACATTATTCATTTCACAGACAAATGCTAAATTATACAATGGGAACATCCTACCCATTCCAAATTTTACTCATGCCATGTCAATAGAATTTTTGGAAACCATAAATATTCAATGTTGTTTGTTGTTTCACAAAGTTGCCGATTTTGCAAGAAATTGTTAAAATGAAAAAGGAGGCATATTCAAAAATAGGTATTTTGTCCTTTTGTCAACAAGATTTAATCTATGGGAATTTTTATGAGTGGAATGTTTTGCTATTATCCTATCAAGAATATCCCAAACCAATGTTGTTTATATGAGGTATTTAAATTTTCGATTCAAGAGTTTCATAAGGAAATCAAACTGCAAGCATTAACAATAAAAATAACTAAAAATTGTCAATAGAAGTAAAATATGCAGAAGTGCAGCATATCATTTCTATACTCTTATCTTCTTTTTCCAATTTTTCCTGTTTAAATTCTTATAAACATAATACATCTTGGATGTAAACCTTTCTTTGGTAAACAAAATTTTGTATTAAACGTAGACATATTTACAGGTCCTGCAATTATGAATTGGAGGATATCTTAATTCTTCCAGAAAAAACCGATAAACATCCACAGAACAAATTGATGTAATTGTCACATAAATCCAATCCGGCTATCAAACCCAAAGAAAAAAACTGTCACTCCAGAGCTTATTGATCGTAAAAAAGGTTGGATTTACCGTTAGGCAAGCTGTTAGGTAATCATAATAATCAATATAAAGATGCGTATAAAGCCACAAATAAAGATAATGATGAATTATTAAAAAATGCACAAATTCAAAAATATGAAAACAGATTTATTCACTCAGACGATAAAATAAAAAGCATGTCGGCTATTAGCAAAGAAATTACAGAAATAACCACTCTAAAAGGGAAATAGCCCTACAGGGAAATGCTGGAACAATTGCGAATAAATACAAAGATTTTTTGATTAAGGTAATTCCGGATTTATTGATCAATGTTTTATTTTTAAGAACCACGTTAGAAAATTTAGAACATTTAGGCATAGGAAATGGGATTACAGTCCAATTGTAGAAGAAAACACTTTCAGGTGCTAGATGAAAGATTGAAGGTAATGGTTTAATATGAAATGTGTTAACTGTTATATAGCAAACCATAAATATAAAACGAATCGAACTAATCATAACTTAAGCCATGAGGCTACAGACCCTCAATGTACAACAAACAAACAGGTTTGGCAAGTGAACATCTTACGGACAAATTTTAATGCAATAGAATGAAATGCCTAGACAAAGTCTAAGGTTAAATACAGAATGGAACCGATTTCCCTATTCTATCTCCAGCATTACCAGCGCTCCATGCTAGAAGTGGGACCAACCCTTACTATTTCAAATGGAACAAGGGGTCGAGTGATACCTCTTTTAAAAAAGCGTTCAATTCTCCTTCATTTGATTGTCATTTGAAAGAACATTGAACGCATTTTTAATACAGGTGTCAGTCGACTCCTTGTTCCATTTGGAATGGTAAGGGTTGGTCCCACCCCCTCTAGAGGTTAAAGTGTAAGTGCTGCAAATTACGTGTACCAACGATTTTTAATAGTTATTTATGGTACTAGTGTATTATGTTGAAAATAAGTCATGCGAGAAAGATTTATACCACGAGGCCGTCAGGCCGAGTGGTATAAATTCTCAAGTGACTTAGGAAACATAACACACGAGTGGCATACAATGTTTTATCCAACACATGACAGTTATGACTATTATTATTATTGTCATTTTAGGCAGGTAAACTATCAAATAACACACTAGTGTGTTATAATCCATAACTCACTAGTGAGTTATGGATTATAACTCACGTTCATATCTAAAGTACTATTCTATTTATTTATTACTATTACAAGCTGAATTCACATTGATATTGAAATTAAAGGGAAACGTTACAGGTTTATTCGGATTTGAAGTAATGTAAATTTTGTTGGTTCATTGGAACCAGACGCTCCCATATCGGTACAGGTGCTGATAGTGCCGGAAGACGCTGACACATAGAAGCTTGTATTTTTTTTATATTATCTCATAAAAAAACGATTTCTTCTACTTGTTGGATAAAAAAAAAAAAATGTGATATCAGATATTAAGCCTGTTTCTTTTTAAATGGTATACCCTGTATATGTATAACAACATTTCAAATTGTATTGACACATTAAGTGTAAATTCTTTAAATAAATCTATGTATCTGACACCAATAAAAAACACTAAACAATTCATATAGGTAACCTGAAAAATGACAATGCTCCTGGACATGATGGGTCACTGTTAAATTAGTAGAAAAAATGCATTTGTACTTGATAAGACCCCTAAACCATATAATAAACTTAATTTTTAAAACTGGAATTATACGTAAACATTTTAAAACTTCTACAATCACACCAATCTTAAAATTTGGAGATCCGAACCTAATAAAATTCATTACTTATTTACTTACTATTACTATAGATCAAGCAGTGCCATTTCAACCTATGCCAAACTTTGTGAGAAATGTTTAAAGGAAAAACTTATAATCTTTTCTCACAACACCAATTTGGGCTCTGTAAAGAGGATCTCACCTCAAGTGATGCTATATAATATAGGTAAGCTGCACTCTGATAAAAAATGACTAGCAAAGGCCCCCGATACGGAGATTCATAAAAAGCTTCTTAATGTGCTCAATGCAATGGAGTGGTGAGGGGCACTGTGTTATAGCTTTTTGAGAACTATCTAACAGATAGACACCAAGGGAAAATACGAAAAACTTTAAGTGACCCTCTAACATTGCAAAAATAGGAGTCCCACAGGGAACCGTTCTTTTTAATTTATAATTTATGTATAAATAATTAATATCCAGGGTGATTGATGGTCGATGGTACCTTAGACGCTTATGGAAAAAACGGAATATTGGATTTTTTTGAAAATTTGTATGCTCAAGTAATAAGTAATTGCTCTTGATCTATCATTCTGAAATAATTTCAACGATGCGACCAAAAAGTAATATAAAGTTTGATATTTCAAATGAGACTCCTTGTATATTATTGCATTTTTCGCTCCGCTTGCTGATTATTTTTGTATAATACTATGCTATGGTCCGACTATAACTAAACGTTAACCAGAATTTACAGATAAAACCCACAGAACCGACATCTGATAGCCGGTAACTATTTTGAGATTTTGTTAATCACATTTCAGGAAACCGAAATCCAAAAGTAACCACTTTTCCAGAAACCAGAATAATTAGATAACTTTCCAACCGCGAAACCATAGCCCTTGTTATATTCGGACCACAACCTATATTTTTTTCTCTATTTATTATCGACTTATTAATTAATTTCTTTATTTTTTTTTTCAAAACATAGCTCTAGTTAAATTTGTATTACTATGTCACTGAGATTCATAAAAAGTTTAAATTTTGGAGATAACTTGGGGAGGTCCTGCATATTACTTTTGAGCAAGAAAATTTGTTCTACATTATGCAGGGTTGGTCAAAATTAGTCACTATACCAGGTACAAAAAAGATGAAAGTACAGTTTTTTTAAATAGAGCACCCTGTAATGAAATATTATAAAATGCAATTAGAATCCCTTACAAATGATGTATCATATTCCTATACCTAAATAGTAAGGTTTCGGAAATACAAGCAACTTTCTGTTAGAATTGGATTATTTTGGGATATTTGTCTAATGGCGTTTCCGATTGGTAGATTTAATTCGCACTGAGTGTATTTCTATCTCTTTCTCTGAACCTGTTGAAGAAACAGATATGATAAATGATAGATATCAGGAGCAATTACTTGGACATGCAAATTTTGAAAAAAATCCAATATTCCGTTTTCCATAAGCGTCTAAGGTACCATCGACTATCAATCACCATGCATAGAATCGATGAATGAATTGATTATAAATGGAAAAATTATTTTCTACGCGGATGATACAGTAATCGTCTTCAGCAGCACAACTTGGGAACAGGTTAGGGAAAACGCTAAAAATGGCATTTCAATAATTAATAATGTAGCAGATAAGATAAATGGAGTACCAAGCACTCAATATCTTGGAATTATAATTGATCGTTAACTCAAATGGGACTTGCGTGTGAAATACTAAATACTTAACATAAAATTGAAATTTTTGACTCATAGCCCATAGGTTTTATACTATGAGACATATTCTTAATAAAAATATTTTGGTAGCCCTGTACCAGAGCCTAGTTGAATCAATACTACGTTATGATGGTATACTGGTTTGCTTGGGGTAGCAAGGTGTCATAAGAATACCTGTTTATTGTTTATGTAATTGCCTATAAGTAGGTTAAGACAGAAGGCAGTGTCTTGCTGGAAGGAAGGGACATGGATGTAGAGGTTGGGTTAGAACATTGTGCTCAATAAACTCAATCAGTAATTATATTATAAAAACCTGCTATTATTTGATCAAGAATTCATCAGATAGTTAAAAAAAAATAGTGCAGTACTTAGTTGTGAAATAGTTTTCGCTGAAAAGATCTCGTATTTGTTAGTTTCTAACCTACAACCTACACCTTCTGTAGTAATAACAAAATGGAGGGCTTGCGATAAACAAAGGACTTTTCATTAGACAGTGATGTAACAGTTAATTTTAGAAAAAAGAAAAATATTTTCGAAATTTACATGCAAGCGTCTGGGATCAAAGACATAGATAACAATGAAGTCTCAGGTGAGATGAAGGTTGCTATTGGGTTTGTTCGGACTTAGTTCAGAATCAGTTCTGAATTGAAATGCGCTTGCGCATTTGTTCATATCGAACAAAAATAAACAAATGCGCATTCTGAACTAAGTCCGAACAAACAACAAACAAAGGATTAGACAAAAATTTTAGATCATACTATAAATCGTCATTTATTCCACACAAGAAAAAAAAACGGAGAAAACAGATTTAAAAAAATTAAAAGAA